AAAATTCAGGGAGTGCTCGCCAATGGTTCCTTACCATCCTGGGAATTACAAGTGGATGCCACAGGGTTTTGTCCTAGACCAGTTGTAGTTCAATATCGTTATGAACAATTTGGATGAAAGAATTGAGGGGATGCTTATCAAATTTTCAGATGGAAGGGTAGCTAATAGAGCAGAAGATAGAAAGAGGATTCAAGATGTCCTAGGATGTGCCCTGACCCTTGCTACTTGACAAAGAACTCCAACTTGGGTTTCTGTTTCTGTCAAAATGTTCCAGTCAGGTTACATAAGGAAGGCAAGGGTTCAAAGGCACAGCAGGTAAATTGCATGAGGAATGTCTCAAGTTGAGACATTGAACCAATGAGTGGCATGCCCCTGTCCCTTCCCTCTGAGAAGAGGGATGGCCATAGTCTTCAGCACAATCAGCATGAGGAGTCCTTCATGCAGGCAACCAAATGGGCACTCCTTGAGTGCATTGGGCCTGAGTGTTCTGCCATCTCCTTGACCTAGGAGACAGGGGAGTCATCAGCATCAGCTCAGCATCAGTCCTGTCATCTGGTGTCTCCTCCACAGGAGTAGGTGCCAGAGGTAGCATTGCAACAAGTTGACTAGAACATTTAGAAGAAATGTACTACTCCAACAACCTGCTCAGCCCTTCCCAGGGATCAGGTTGTACATTTTCTCACCAAACACTCTCCTCCCCTGGTTCCAAGATCTCTTTGGATCCTGCCGTCACCTCCCCGTCCACCCTGGGCACCTCCCCCATGTTGCTGAGGTCTAATTTGGTGAGCTCTTCCACCTCCTCTCTTGATCTGACTGTGTGTGCCCATGACAATTCCTTGAGGCTGATGACACAGAGGGTCAGATAGAAGGCCATGTAAGGCCTCAATCCTACTTTTGCTCTAGATGCTAAGGCTCACCCTCTGAATATGAGAGCCCGTCACCGGTTACAGTTCCAAACCCTGCAGATCTTTCCAAGTAATTATTACCCCTTTAACCTACACGAAATCTTTTTTTATTTGCATGTGGGGAGGGATGGCATCTTCTGCACTTTCTCATACTTGCTCACTGAACAGCATCTTGAACTGGTTTGGGCTCTTGATATTTCTATCATTTTCATATATGCAGGACTCACTGGCCACCATGATTGTGCACACGGAGGAGCGCTATGCCAAGAGAAAGGCCGCTTTCGCTGTGAATGTGAAAGTATTCATGGAAAATGTTCTTTTGAAGATTGCTGTAAAATGGTGAGCATTAGATACCAGACAGGACCAATATGGAGATGGCAGACATATCATATTTACCAAGACTTTTTTTCCACCTACCTGCGCCTCATAGCTCCAAGACCTGAGGTCCCACACCTCTAGACCCTGAAATTTTCGGGCAAGAGGAATATCACAGATATGCACCCAAAGTGATAGATCATAGAAGCATAGAAGCAAGTTGGGAGGGACCCGAAGGATCATCTAGTCCAACCCTCTATAATGCAAGAATATACAGCTGATGAAATCTGCAGCCTTAGAGTTATCAGCACCATGCTCTAACCAAGCCAGTGTGGTGTAGTGGTTAAGAGCAGTAGACTCGTAACCTGGTGAACCAGGTTCACTTCCCCGCTCCTCCACATGCAGCTGCTGGGTGACCTTGGGCTAGTCACACTTCTTTGAAGGCTCTCAGCCCCACTCACCTCACAGAGTGTTTGTTGTGGGGGAGGAAGGGAAAGGAGAATGTGAGCCGCTTTGAGACTCCTTAGGGTAGTGATAAAGCGGGATATCAAATCCAAACTCCTCAGCTGAGCTATCTAGTCATGTGCTATTGGCTAGGAGCTGCAGCACCAGAATTATTGCCCTGCTGAATCCTGCTGCCATCATGAAGATTGCTCCCTGAGAAATGTTTATTTTCTGCCTCTTTCAGAAGGTGGATGGATGGTTGGAAACATGTGTTTATTACACTGGGGGTTGGCCAGGAGCTCTTTTAATTATTATTATTTTACTTTAACAGAAGACATTTTGCACTTTGTGTGTAAAACTCTATCCCAGCCAGGGCTTCCTGAAGTTACTGTGTTAACTTCAAGAAGCCCCGACAAGATGGAGTCTTATGGCACAGCGAATGAGTGTGGGTCTTTTTTTACAATGTTGGAAGCAAAATAAATGAGCCCATTGCCAACACACCTTGAAGAAGACTCAGGAATTAGCCAGTAACCCTAACAAAGATCCAACAAACACACAACATACACACAATCAAAGGAGCAAGCACACAAGGAATAAGAAGTGATGAGGGGTGAATTCAGCACAGATGAGGAAGTCACACTGGCAAACTCTCTCTCTGGGAGCCAGGGCTGGATTTAGGTTTGATGAGGCCCTAAGCCACTGAAGGTAATGGGGCCCTTTATATATCCGGCTGTCCTTTGTCAACAACAAATTGTCGCTGGTTTTTTGTTGTTGCATATATGCTATATGGTAATTTATGGACCTAAGGGATGCGGGTGGCGCTGTGGGTTAAATCACAGAGCCTAGGGCTTGCTGATCAGAAGGTCGGCGGTTCGCATCCCCATGACGGGGTGAACTCCCATTGCTTGGTCCCTGCTCCTGCCAACCTAGCAGTTCGAAAGCACGTCAAAGTGCAAGTAGATAAATAGGTACCACTCTGGCGGGAAGGTAAACGGTGTTTCCGTGCGCTGCTCTGGTTCGCCAGAAGTGGCTTAGTCATGCTGGCCACATGACCCAGAAGCTGTACGCCGGCTCCCTCGGCCAATAAAGCGAGATGAGCACCACAACCCCAGAGTCGGCCACAACTGGACCTAATGGTCAGGGGTCCCTTTACCTTTAATTTATGGACCTAATAGCTATGTAAAGCCATTTGCACATAACAAAATATGTATTTTTTCCTTTAATTTCTTTGGGGCCCCAAGAGAGTGGGGTCGTAATCTATAGCTTGTTTAATTTATACGTAAATCTGGCACTGCTGGGAGCATATAGTAGATGAGGCCTCAGTCATGTGCAAGGCAAAGAAGACCAAAATCTGGCTTCTAAAACAAACACTCCCAGAAAAGTTAGCAAACATGGAGGCTACTGTTTGTAGGGGAAGTACCTCAAGAAGACAGGATCAGGAGCAAGATATACCTTTCCCAGACCTGGTTGGCAATCCTAGACTAGGCATTGCCAATGAAGGCAGCAAACACAATGAGTCAAAACCAGAATCCTTCTTCCAATGAAATCTGGAGTTTTTAATACCCTCATAGTCAAATGTGTCAAAGCAAATTTAAAACAATTTCTTAAAATCCTTTTTAAACATTTGTTTGTCATTTCTTTTCAGGTAAGAATGCGTGAGGAGGCTGAAGACAAATGTCGCAGCTATAATTAACCAACCCCGTAGAAAGCCATCTAATTAGACTTTAATTTGATTTTGGCCTGTTTTTAGAAAGTAATTTAATTATTGTTTGATTTTATACCAATGTTAGCCGCCCTGAGCCCGACTTCGGCCAGGGAAGGCAGGATATAAATAAAAGATGATGATAATGATGATTAATCCCCCCCTTTAAGTATCTTCCAAAAAAAAATCGGGGGGAGGGGACCTGAGATTTTTTTATCCATGTTCTTTTTAAATCCCACATGTAATAAAATTAAACGAAGTTGAGTAAACACTATCTGACTTCTTGTTGTTCTTTTGTTCCCATTCTTTGTTTGTCTGGCCATATCCATTCATTCCGATACATCTATACAGAACATGGGGGAAACTGAATGCAATTCATAGTCGCTGAGTTGGTGCTCTGTTTTCCTGATCCAAACATCCTGCCCCTGTCCCCCCATATATATTAGTCCCATTGAGGGGGCTTTCTGCAAGTGTTGCATACCCTTCAGTATTCAATTTGTTTTAGGGAGAAAGATGCAGCAAATGACCTAATAAAATCTTGCCCCTTCCCCCTCTGTGAACTTCCTTTTCCTTGTAGGTCCCACCACATCCTTTCTTTTTACCTATTTCTAAAGCATATCCTGGGACATGCCTGGTGCTGTGATTTAAACCACTGAGCCTCTTGGGCTTGCCAATCAGAAGGTCGGTGGTTCGAATCCCCGCAACGGGGTGAGCTCCCATTGTTCGGTCCCTGCTCCTGCCAACCTAGCAGTTCGAAAGCACACCAGTGCAAGTAGATAAATAGGTACTGCTTTGGCGGGAAGGCAAACAGTGTTTCCATGTGCTGCTCTGGTTTCGCCAGAAGCGGCTTAGTCATGCTGGCCACATCACCCAGAAAAACTGTCTGTGGACAGACACCGGCTCCCTTGGCCAGTAAAGCAAGATGAGCGCTGCAACCCCAGAGTTGTCTGCGACTGGACTTTATTGTCAGGGGTCCTTTACCTTTACCCTTTTAAAGCATATCCTAGCATCAAAACATTTCCAGTGATGAACCAAGGCAGAAGAGAGTCATGTCATACATAAATAAATCAATAATCGCTGCAGGCTACTGTAAGCCAAAAGGGGATCTCTTTATCTCGGCATGATGCATTGCTCATACACCCCAATATTCAACCTGATATTCAACTCTTGCACAGATCCAGTTTGAACAATGATGAAATAAGTTGCCAATCTCATCTCCTATGCTGCAATTTTCTTCCTCCTCTCTTACTGTAACAGGAGCAGTGTGGGCACTCCAGAGCCCCAGTAGAGCATTTTTTCACTCCACTGGAAAAAGGACTAGGACTCTCAGTTTTACCATTCCCAGTGAGAAAAATCACACTGTAGCAGTTAATGGTGCTGGACCAGCACTTGGGAGACCAGGGTTCAAATCCATGAAGCTCACAGCCTGACCTTGGACCAGTAAACATCTATCAGGAAATCCTACTTCTGAGGGCTTTAATCCTTTACCCATATATAGTCTCTCTCTCTCTCTCTCTCTCTCTCTCTCTCTCTCTCTCTCTCCCTTAGCTTGATCAGGGATAAAGGGCTTTCAATTACATGCTCAAGTCCCTCCCAGTGAAATCAACAAGGCATAGGAAATGCTCTCTCTTTTAAATAAATTTATTCATTTATTTTAAAAATCATTTCCCACTTTTGACTGCGAAGGTCTTGAAGCAGCTTGGAATAACGCGGTATGCAAAATTTGAAATGTAAATTGAATTTTGGCCAGACTGTGCCCAGCCAAGTGGAACATGCTCAATCCCAGATTCGTCAGGCAAAATAATGAGTGTGTTTTAAGTGATTAAAAACAGAAACAAGGAGCAGAAATGTATTATTCACCTTTATTGCACAGGGAAGGCATTGTAACCTAACTAGCAATACCAGCTGTGTGTTTTTTAAGATTAAATTCCCTGGTTTTCCCAAGGTTTGCACTGCATGTGAACACTCCAGGTACCAGGATTGGGAACCTTCAGAGCCATTTGTGCTACTCAAATCTCGCCAGATAACTTATGCTCCTGGGCGAGGCCTGTGGAAAGAGAAGAAAGTCAAGTTTAGAAAGTTTAGAAAGGGAGCACAAATCACAAATCACCAGCAACTTTAGCCATGCAAGCCTTGTTGAAGTGAATGGGGTTGGAATGAGAAGCATCAATAATAATAATAATATTTATACCCCGCTCATCTGACTGGATTTCCCCAGCCACTCTGGTCGGCTCCCAACAGAATATTAAAAAGATGATAAAACATCAAACATTAAAAACTTCCCTAAAGAGGACTGCCTTCAGATGTCTTCTAAAAGTCAGATGCAGTGGTACCTTGGTTCTCAAATGCCTTGGTTCTCAAACCCCCAAAATTTTCAGAAGCTGAACATCCAATGCTGCTGTCAGCTATTGTTTCCAGGGCACCTACACCAATCAGATGCTGTGCCTTGGTTTTCAAACATTTCAGAAGTCAAATGGACTTTCGGAATGGATTAAGTTTGGTGCTTTTTGTTTTTGCTATTTATTTTGTATTTTTGTTTTTGAGGCTTTTTCAGTTAATTTGTTTTTTTGTCTGTGTGGAACCCAGTTCAGCTACTGATTGATTGATTGATTGATTGATTGTGTGACTGTGGAAATGGATAAAAGCCCCCCAACCAAACAGTGACTATCATCAGTGCAGATTAAAAAAATAATGATAATTTAGATTTTTATCATCTACAATACTGACTTATTTTAAACTATAGTACATTGTTTATTGATTTCATTTTATGGGTCAATGGTCTCGTTAGATAGTGAAATTCAATGTTAAATTGCTGTTTTGGGGTTGTTTTTAAAAGTCTGGAATGGGTTAATCCTTTCCTTTCTGTGGGAAAGCACACCTTGGTTTTGGAACGCTTGGGTTTTGGAATGGACTTCTGCAATGGATTAAGGTTGAGAACCAAGGTACCACTGTAGTTGCTTATTTCCTTGACATCTGACAGGATGGTGTTCCACGTAGGTCATGTCACTCACACGGGAATATGGCCCTGGAACATGGTGTTGAGGATCCTCCATTCAACATTTTGGAAAGTATAGAAGGGAAGGTTGCATGGGCAAACCCCAGAGGAGTAATCAGGCCCATGGGCCAGTGGCTCCTCATCCCTGGCGGAGCAAAAATGAGGGGGAGGGGAAACCTTGTCCAACTTTATTTAAATGATTATACCACACCCCAAACCCTAGGGACATTCTCAGCAATTCTTCCCTACATGTTGCTTAAGGTAAAACTGTGCAGGACCGCAGATGTCAATTATCCATTGGAAGTGCTGTCAGAAGGGTCTGTTTCAAGGGCAGAGAATATCTTTCTGCCCAAAGACCTCATTCCTTCACTGGAAACATTCCAGGGATAACATGCCACTGGTGGACAGAGCCAGAAACAAAAGTGGATGGAGATATGGATGTGTATCCCACCTTTGCACTATATGTATGTGTACATCCCAGCTACACACAAACCAGAGGTTCCTGTGCACACACATCTTTCCATTCTCCATTGAGGCAAGAAACAGACATACAGTGGTACCTCTGGTTAAGAACTTAATTCGTTCAGGAGGTCCGTTCTTAACCTGAAACTGTTCTTAACCTGAGGTACCACTAATGGGGCCTCCTGCTGCCACTGTACCGCCACTGCGCGATTCCTGTTCTCATTTTGAAGTAAAGTTCTTATTATTTCTGGGTTAGTGGAGTCTGTAACCTGAAGCGTCTGTAGCCTGAGGTACCACTGTACTACAGTTCAAGGCCAGATTTCAGCCGGGCAGAAGTACTTGAAGAGGGGTGGTAAGACGTGTGGCCTGGGATGGGGTCTTGGTCCAAGACTTGGTCCAAAGTCCATACAGTCTTGGTCCAAGACTTGGTCCAAAGTCCATATAGTGAGGCCTGGGGGTGCCACACTCAACCCCAAGGTCTGAAGTCTCCCCACCTCTGCTCTATTTGAATAAGTCCTTTCTCTGGAGGGCTTTCTGGTCCAAGCCCACAAGCCCGTAAGAATGGAGAGCAGTGAGGACCTTGAAGTTGCTCATCTACAGCAGCTTAGCATTTGAACAGCAGACTGAGAAGGCACCTCCCCTAGCCATAGTCTTCCCCACAATGGCAAGATGTATTGTGTGTCTGTTTAAATGCTAGTCTATTATTTCTGAGTTTGCATCTGTACATATAATTTTTCATTCATATCTATTCCCTCCTTTCTGGTGCCTTCTCTTTTTGGCTACTCTAACTCAGCAAAAATGTCATATACAGGGGCTTCACTTACCATCTGCAGCAGGACATGGTTCCTCCTTTGCAGGTCCCCACATTCTGGAAACCGGGTCTGCAAGCCCCAACTTGACAGCCACCACCACCGCGGCCACATGCAATTGTATCCTCAGGCGCCTGGGCATCCCCTGTATATCACAAACCAAAAAGATTCCATCCGTGAGAACTGCTCATGATGAAAAAGGAAAAGGAAGGCAGCCTATGGACTGAGCCCAATTCCCCGCTGCAATAAACAGGTTTGCATAATAAGCTGAAATGTCAGCCGAGAAAAGCAAGATCAGTTAGAACCATGCAGAAGCAAAGATGTCCCTGTTTGTCTCAGGAGAAAAACAAACAAACACTGGTGATCATTTATTGCCCCCCTCCTCCAAAAATACCCCACCATAAAAGGGGGAAGGGGTAAAATTACTTGCATCGAATGTTTCCCAATAGAGCTGAGCATATTATAGCAAAATCACCTTTGAAATGAATGGAGTTTTTCCAGAAAAAGAAGAAGGAAAAGTCAGGTTTTTCCCCGAGTCAATCTGAAGGAAGCTACTGTATTACATCAAAGGAACAGAGCTATTGGTACAAAAACCAACATGGGTGGTAGGAAGTCTCCCTTTGTGGTTCTCTAGAGGATGGGTTCCTCCACCCTTGCTTTTGGACATGTCCACCTCCTGATTTTTGTTTTGTTTTGTTTTTTGGCACAAGTTGGAGAGTTTCTTCTGGAAAGATAACGTCTGTGCTTGGTGAAACTGTAGACTTTCCCCCAAGAGTCTCCCAAATACCACTTGCTATACAATTGTGTAGCTGGAAGGGGCAAACTGCATAAAGGTACCCCTTTCCCCAGCTTTAGCAAGATATGAATGTCTTTATGACATCAGCAGTCATTCCTTCCATTCCTATCTTCACCTCAGACCTATTTCCAAGCCTAGGAAACAACAAACATCACCTTATTGATTGATTGACTGTCATTTGTCGAGAGGTTATGTGGCATAAATAGTGCTTGACTCAGGCTGGGAAATACCAAAAGTGAAATATAACATTGTCAACAACTATCCATAAAGCTGCATTTAAAACACATCAATTTAACATTTCCAGCCAATAAAACAGTCTAACAGGAGTCAAACAGACAAATCTCATCTCAATGCCTGCATGAAAAGATGCCATAATAAAGTCATTGGTTTATTCTATGCCAGTTGCTATGAGAAGTCAGTCGTGTGATAGATTCACTAGTTTAAAAAGTCACTGGTGTCAACTTACAAAGATGCACTCTCTTTTATTAGAGGCAGGCACATTTTTATCATTCCAATGCTTTGATCATTAGAACTGGTCTGTTCCTATAATTTTGTGACCCCATCCCCCCGCCCCCGAGAAAAAACCCTTTTTTGCTTGCCAACGCGGGTGGTGCTGTGGGTTAAACCACAGAGCCTGGGACTTGCCAATCAGAAGGTTGGTGGTTCAAATCCCCGTGACGGGGTGAGCTCCCATTGCTCGGTCCCTGCTCCTGCCAACCTAGCAGTTTGAAAGCACGTCAAAGTGCAAGTAGATAAATAGGTACCACTCCGGTGGGAAGATAAATGGCGTTTCTGTGTGCTGCTCTGGTTCACCAGAAGTGGCTTAGTCATGCTGGCCACATGACACGGAAGCTGTACGCCGGCTCCCTTGGCCAATAAAGCAAGATGAGTGCCGCAACCCCAGAGTCAGTCACGACTAGACCTAATGGTCAGGACCCCTGTCCTTTTACCTTTACTTATGTACCTTCAATCAATTTGGGAAGAATAGTTGAACACAGAGTAGGGAACTTGGCTTGATTTAGCTAACCAAGTTGTCTTCTAGCAGTGCTGAGTGTGGGTTGGTGACAGAAAAGGATTTTCTTTGGGAACTCAATTCAGGATTGGTGGTTGTGCTATCAGCTTCAGGAGCTGCCTTGCTCTCAATATGCTCTGCTTGTATATTTATAAACAAGCGTACATTGCAAAGACACTATCGGCCTGTAGTGCTCTCTCACAATGAAGAAAGAGGTCCAGAGCCAGAGGTCATCCTTAAATTCCCTTCTCACTGGGAAGACACATACATGCACAAACACTTCTGTAAACCAAAACACCCACCACTTCCCAAGGCTGCTGATAAATAGCAGACATCTACCAAGCAAATTCGCTTTGAGCTCTATTTCTCATAGAGACCCTATGGGTCTTCTTACCTGGTACAGCTTGGGATGAAATCAGAACAATGGCAAAGATAAGGAAAAGGGTCTTCATGGCTGAAGCTCAATGCAATCCTTGCTAGAGACAGGAATCTGAAAGTCAGGTCAAGTAGAATTTGGCAACTGAGGAGCTGGCTATTTATGAAGTTGGTGTGGGACCCAAGAGGAAAAGGGGGGTTAATAATCCACTGAGAGTTACAAATTAAAGAGGTATTCAAGCGTATTACAAAACTACACACACACACCCTTTGGATACATAAGGTGGCCAAAATGTCACAATTATGCAACATGGTGTTTTTTTCCATTCCCTAGTTGTTGGTGGGCTGTTTCCACAAAGGACTTCGGATTGGAGTAGAACAGAGGTGGCTTGCTGATTCAGACCAAAGTCCATCTCCTTCAGTTGTCTGCTTTCAGCAGACGTTCACAAGAAGGGCACTCCAACCTATGAACGCAATCTAGTTGAATTCTGGGTTGATCAGAATCAATTCAGTTCTGTTCAGGGTCCAGGATTCAGCCAGATCTGATGTAGAGCTCTAATTCTTATTGATGATGACTATACATGACCTCCAGTGGCAGAGACCATATTCTTCTCTATGGCAGTTGCTATAGGATGCAAGCCGAAAAGTGCTACTGCTCTATTGTCTTGCTTGGTGGCATCTCATAGGGATGTTGTTGGCAACTAGAGGAATAGGATGCAGGAATACCTGGGTATTTTGCCTTATCCATTGCAGGGTTGTTGTTTTTTTAAAATGTTCCTATGGAACTTACTTCCTCAAGATATGGTAATGACCACCAACTCAGATGGTCCTTTCCTGTGTTCCCACCAAGCCTGCCTGAGAGGGTGGTGAGACTTAGAGAAGGGTCTACCTTCACATCTATTTCTAAAGCTATCCCATGAAGGCCGAATGCTTACAAAACCAAATGCAGCACTCTAACATTTTATTTTATTGAAATTTTTAAAAATAGTGCGTGAAAGGCCTTATTTTAAACTGCATGCATTTCAAATGTACTTTTTACATGCAACACACATGTTTTTATACCAGATCAAAACTTTTCAATGTTTTTCAATTCGTTCATCCATAAACTATGCATTTTTGTACGCAACTTTCATGTAAAATGCATATTTTGGGGCACAGTTCTTGTGTATTGGTCAGCATTGCAAAATCTGGAGAAGGGCCTGACCCAAATGGGATTACCTTTCTCATTCAGCATTCCTAATGGTAGCCCTCATTAAATCTACTCATGTCCTGAGTTATTTAACTATTGACGCAGGGAGTCACAAAATGTATTAGAACTCATATAGCTTGTTCTGAACTGGTAGTGGGCAGTTTCTACCAAAGACCTGTGATTGGAGGGAAAGGGAGGTGGGATAAAATATGCTGGGTTTTTTCCAGGTATTGCAACCATTTAATATGTTAATAAGTAGCAGTGACATTGAGAGAGAAGTGAGTTCAGCAGAACTCCAGGTTACAGAGTGTTCACAAATACTTCTGGGTCTTTAGCGCAATGTTGTGGAGGGGGGGGTGAGAAGAAAGGACACTTTGAAAAAGGGGTAGATGTTGTGGGGGGTGCTGTGTCCATATACAGTGGTGCCCCGCAAGACGAATGCCTCGCAAGACGGAAAACCCGCTAGACGAAAGGGTTTTCCGTTTTTGAGTTGCTTCGCAGGACGAATTTCCCTATGGCTTGCTTCGCAAGACGAAAATGTCTTGCAAGTCTTGAGATTTTTTTTTCGCTTCCCCCCCCTTTATCTAATCTGCTAAGCCTTTAATAGCCTTTTAGCAGCTAATCCGCTAAGCCTTTAAGCCTTTAATAGCCGCTAAACCGCTAATAGCGCTAATCCGTTAAGCCGCTAATAGGGTTGCTTCGCAAGACGAAAAAACCGCTAGACGAAGACTCTCGCGGAACGGATTAATTTCGTCTTGCGAGGCACCACTGTATGTACATCCTGTATCCTATTTGTGGAATGCCCTCCCTTGATGAAGTGTGTCTGTATCCTTCATTATTAACGTACAGGATGAATTTAGAAACATTCCTGCTCACCAAGACCCTCCCAAAATGTGCGTGGCCATACCCCTCAACATTTCTCCAGTCAAAATAGGGATGTCTTATTCCATCATCGTCATCATCATCATCATCTGGTTTTCTGGATCCAATTCAATTAGGGTTTAGGCCTGGTTTTGGCACAGAAACCACTTTGGTCAACCTGTATGCAAGGCTGTAGCTAGGGGGTGGTGAGGTGAGCCCGCACCAGGGGCACAGGTGATGGGGGCGGTGCAACATCAGCTAAAAATATGTCCATTAATATAAAAAATTATTATTGCCTCATAAGAAATGGTTTTTAATAGAGGGTGAATTGAATGGGTGGAGGGGGGGTGTTGGAGGAGAGGCAGAAAGAAGAGCTAATTTGTCCATGGCTTGGGGGCGCAATCTGGATGGTTCTTCCAGGGGTGCAAGATCACCTAGCTATGGTTCTGCCTATATGATGACCTCTGTTGAGAGAAAGACAAGGGAAACATGTCCCTGTTAATTGTTCTCGACCTCTCAGCGGCTTTCGATACCATCAATCATGGTATCCTGCTGGAGCGACTCTCCAAACTAAGGATGGGTGGCACTGCTTTGCAGTGGTTCCAGTACTACTTGGATGGTTGTTCCCAGAGGGTATTACTGGTTTTCAGCCTTGTGAAACCTTCAATGTGGGGTTTGTAGGGCTCAATCCTATCCCCCATGTTGTTTAACATCTACATGAATCTGCTGGGTAGGGTTATCCAGAGGTTCGGAGTACTTTGTCAGCAGTATGCTGATGACACTCAGCTCTATTTCTCCTTTACATCTGCAGGTGAGGCAGTGGAAGTGCCAGACCAGTGTCTTGCCTTGGTAATGGACTAGATGAGAGCCAACAAACTGAAGCTCAATCCAGATATGACTGAGGCACTGTTACTCGGGGGTTCCCTAGACCAGATGGGTGGGAGGTCACCTGCTCTTGATGGGGTTACACTTCCTCTGAAGGAGCAAGTTTGTAGCTTGGGGGTACTCCTGGATCCTTTCTTGTCACTTGAGGCTCAGTTGGCCTCAGTGGCTTGGAGTGCCTTCCAACAGCTTTGACTGGTGGCCCAGCTGCACCTCTATCTGGACAGGGATAGCCTAACTACTGTTGTCTATGCTCTGGTAATGTCAAGGATAGATTAATGCAATGTGTTATACATAGGGCTGCCTCTGAAGACGGTTCAGAATCTTCAGCTGGTGCAGAATTCAGTGGCCAGGTTGCTCACCAGAGGAAGATGGTTTGAGCATATTACACCGATTCTGGTCCAACTGCACTGGTTACCAATTTGTTTCCAGGCCTGATTCAAGGTACTGGTTTTGACCTATGAAGCCTTAAATGGCTCAGGACCACAATACCTCAAGGACCGCCTCTTTCCATATGAACCTACCCAGATCCTGAGATCTTCTTCTGAGGCCCTTCTTTGTGTGCCTCCTCCTTGAGAGGTCTGGAGGGTGGCAACATGAGAACGGGCCTTCTATGCAGTGGCTCCCCATCTGTGGAAGGGAAGTTTGCCTGGTGCCTTCATTATATACCTTTAGGCGCCAGGTGAAAATGTTCCTTTTTAACCAGGCCTTTGGTTGATCTGATTTACACATTTTAAAAATGTGGATTATAATAAAACATACAGTCATACTTCGGGTTAAAGTCACTTCAGATTGAGCATTTTCAGGTTGCATTCCGCAGCAGCCCGGAAGTAACGGAATGGGTTACTTCTGGGTTTTGCCACTCGCGCATGTGCAGACACTCAAAATAACGTTACGCACAGAAGCGGTGAATCACAACCTGTGCATGTGCAGATGCGCAGACGCAGGTTGCATTCTGCCCAGGATGCGAATGGGGCTCTGGAACAGATCCCGTTCGCATCCAGAGGTACCACTGTATAGTAAAACCTTCCCTATACACGACAGCCTTCAGATGTCTTCCAAAGGTTATCTAATTTCTTGTCTCCTTGGTTCAGTGGGTCCCATAACTCCACACCCTCCAACCTGTCACTGATGAAAATAGGAGCATCCTACTATACCCTCCAATATTTCACCAATGAAAATGGGGACATCTTTATTGAATGGTTTATTTAAATATTAAGGTTCATTATTGTTTCACAAGATGTGTATCTCTTTAAAGGCCAGAGTAAATATCATGACCTAGTTTTACAGCTGTGAAGCAGTATAGCAGATGCTGTTGTGTTAATTAAGCTGTGTCAGCAATTGGATATAGTATATAAAGAGCAGCGTGTACCTCTCTCAGTACCCTGGTGAATGGGTTGATGGATGGGTCATACTTCTAGATTTAATGTAAGAAGAGTTTTTGTTGTTGTAATTAAAGCCAAGCAAAAGATATTTTTGCGTTTCTTTATTGTTTTACTGAACGTGTGGTCTCCCCAGCACACTTTCTGCAGCGCAATTAATCTGCTAAATATGCAACAATCTTAAGGAAAAGTGGGACATTCTGGGATGGCTTCTGTAAATCTGGGACTGTCCCTGGTAAATAGGGACACTTGGAAGGGGGGGGGGAGACAAGAACATAAACTTATTTCAGGATAATTACACCAAAACTTGGTTAGAGATTAGAAAAAACTTGGTAATCTGGAGTAAACTAAAATTAACATTTCTGGGTAGGATTTCCATTATAAAGATGAATGTGCTTCCAAAATTAATCTTTTTATTTCAAATGATTCCGATACTGGGTGAAGCAGGTTGTCTCAAGATATGGCAAAGAGAAATTTCCAAATTCTTGTGGGAAGGGAAGAAACCTAGGATTAAACACCTGATCTTAATAGACATAAAAGAGAGAGGAGGCTTTTCCCTACCCGATCTAAAACTTTACTACGAGGCTGCCTGTTTCACCTGGCTAAAAGATTGGTGCACGTTGCAGGATCCAGACCTCCTGGACCTGGAAGGTTTTGACAACCGTTGGGGATGGCACGCCTACCTAATATATGGAAAAGCGAAAATTCATAAAAATTTTACCAACCATATAATAAGAAAGTCACTCTTTGCTGTATGGGAAAAATATAAAGACCTGATGGAGCCTAAAGTCCCGTGGTGGACTTCTCCAGTAGAAGCCATAGCAGTAAAACGGAAAAATACTCAGGAAAGCTGGCCAACATATAAAATACTTCTAAAAAATGAGGATAACCAAATAAAATTAAAAAACTTTGAGGAGATAATAGAACACATTTAAGACTGGTTCCAATACCATCAGTTATTTGAAAAATTTAAATCTGACAAACAAAAGGGGTTGTCAGCAGAAATTTCCCGATTAGAATCTGATCTTCTAAACTCTAAAAGAAAAACTCTTTCCAAAACTTACCGACTCCTCCTTGACTGGACAGTCAAGGAGGAGGAGGTAACAGTGGCAATGGTGAGGTGGTCCCAGGATTTTGGCCATCCAATAACCATGGCCCAATGGGAAAATTTATGGAAGATCAATTGGAAATTCACAAACTGTTACACAATTAGAGAGAACTTTCAAAAAATGCAACATCGATGGTATCTAACACCATGGAAACTTTCAAAAATGTATAAAAATGTGTCAGGTAATTGTTGGAGATGTGGAGACTCAGGAACATTCTACCATATGTGGTGGATATGTAGGAAAATACAGGTATTCTGGGAGAGTATACATGCAGAACTGCAAAAAATGCTAAAGATCTCTTTCAATAAAAACCAGAGGCCTACCTCCTGGGAATAACAGATCTGGATATTCCACAAAAGAGGAAGGGTATCTTTTTATATGCGACAGCGGCAGCAAGAGTTTTGATCGCAGCAAAATGGAAGAGTAATGAAATCCCCTCTATACAAGATTGGATCCAAAAGCTGACAGAATATGCCGAATTAGATGGTTTATCAGAAAAAATAAAGAATAAATCAAAACAGGAATTTGTTTCTAAATGGGAGGTTTTCAAAGAATATCTGAAAAATAAATATAGTAGTTTAAATTCTGTTGCAGCATTCGAGGAACTTCACTGATAGTTGCTAGGTAGATAGAAGAAATTAGATTTATTGAGAATAAGTTTAATTATAAAAAAAATGTGTATTGGCAATACGTAATATGAATTTGAAATATGGAATAGACGGGAAGTTGGGTCTTTAGTGTTAAGACCAATAGATGTTTTATTGTTTGCCAAGAAAATTATGTGTCTATGGTTATTTTTGTAATTTGTGTGTAATTTGGTATTTGTGTTTTTTTGTGTGTGTTTTTTTCTTGTTGTATGTATAAATAAATAAATAAATAATTTTTTAAAAAAATAAAAAAGGAAGGGGGGAGAGAGGGAGAGCGAGAGAGAAATAACTGCTTGAGAAACTCTTTTGGAAGGCAGCCTTCAGAGCAGCAGTTCTTGCCACGCTCCCTTTGAAATGTGGGCCCCAGAGGGTTGGCCATGGATGAATGTGGCCATTGGCCTAATAAAGGTTAGTCACCTTCAATCCATATAAGTTATGTATTACAAAGAGAGAGAACTGGCAACGGGGAAGAGATGGATAAGCGTTTTGAATTAGAAACGGAGAGAGTAAGCCATTATTTTTAGATCCACAGACAGAAAGAAAATAAATGCTTCAAATTGTCCTGTTGAAGATGAACTTTTTTTATTAAGGTTTTGCAGGAGAAAAAACACAGAATGATCAATCAGTGCAAATAACACACCCCATATTGCATGTTTGCATTCACAATGACCAAAGACTTTTTGCCCTAGTGTGTTTGTCCAAAGATCCATATGAGGTTGTGGTGATCTACAGGGATCACAATTAGCATGGGATATAAGGCAATGCCACATAGTACTTGCAGAGTGCCAGAGAAAGAGAGGGACTGGGAGGTATGGACATAAAACCATAATTAGTCATGTTTAGAGTAGACCTATTACAATCCATTGTTCTTCTCCTAGCATGATTGGAAATCTTGCTCCAATCCAAACCGAAAGGTGCATGAAAGAGAAGACTTAAAATATGCATATTATAATGCATATCATAAGGCAATATATCATACTATTTCACTTTATGTATTTTTATAACAAATATTCCCAATTTTAATACATAACTTTTAATAAATCTAGAAAAACAGATTATTATTATTAAAAAATATTTTCCTTATCCATCTTTCAACACCATTGGTTTTCAATGTCACAGCAGAGAAATCCCCTTTTTTTAACCTTTTCTTAACTATTGGGAATTTGCTTCATTTCCAGAATGTTGCGTACAGAACTGTGTGAATCGAGGAAGGGGTTGATTTTCTCCAGCACTTAAATCCATTCAGATAAGCAGCTCTTCACCCTTGACTCCAAAGCTGATCTCAGCCATTTCAGAAGTAGACAGAGAAGAATATCAGAGGTCTTGCATTGTCTGTACTTGGCTCATTGACTCCAAGGACTACCGAAAGAAAAGACAGATTATTAATACCCAACTCTGGTCATACTTTGTCTGATACACTCTTAAATGGCAAGTCTCTACAGTTCCCACACTCTACAGCCGTACAACCTAACCCAAAACAACGATATACCGATAAAGTTAGGAGCTGTCTTGATTCTAATCTCTCCCTATAGGACAAAATAAAGGAGGCAGTGACGTAATGGTTATGCTTCATCTCATATTAACTGAGACAGTTTATCTAATTATTGACTCACACAATTATGGTCTGCATTGGTAATGACGATGGGAGTAAGGAGTTTTTCAGGCATCCTAGTCCAGACTTCATTTGTACTTCTGGGTACAAATGAATAGGATTCTATCGATGAGTTCCTAGAATTAGGAATTTGCAGAGGGGTAGACATTATAGCCTCTTGCAGGGAAAAAAACTGGAGTCTTGGAGACTAGCTATAATTGACTGCAGCATAATGGACTTCACAGACTCTAGCCCACTTTGTCAGACGTGTGAAGTGAAAACTTGGTTGGCAGGTATATAAAAGGGAGCATTTTCACGTGGGAATTGAATGGCAATGACTTGCAAGTATTATAGTTGGTGACAAGGGGTTTATATGTCAGACAGCTATGTTTTCAACCCTTTACAGCAGCAGACTGGAGACAGAATCATAGAATAGTAGAGGAACCGTGACATAATAGTAGCAGCATCCAACATTATGCAACTCTTGAAAAGCTCAAGCCAAAAGAGGACGCAGCGTAGGGGAAAGTGTATGTGGGAAAAGCAACCAATTCTTCACATTTCTACCATTCAGTGCTCATCTGGTGGGGCTGATCTTGAATAAAAGCACCGTATTTTACTTTCTTGGGCTCCATGATCACTGCAGATGGTGACAGCAGTCACGAAATTAAAAGACGCCTGCTCTTTGGGAGAAAGGCGATGGCAAACCTAGACAGCATCTTAAAAAGCAGAGACATCACCTTGCCAACAAAGGTCCGTATAGTTAAAACTATGGTTTTCCCAGTAGTGATGTATGGAAGTGAGAGCTGGACCATAAAGAAGGCTGATCGCTGAAGAATTGATGCTTTTGAATTATGGTGCTGGAGGAGACTCTTGAGAGTCCCATGAACCACAAGAAGATCAAACGCATCCATTCTTAAGGAAATCAGCTCTGAGTGCTCACTGGAAGGACAGATCGTGAAGCTAAGGATCCAATACTTTGGCCACCTCATGAGAAGAGAAGACTCCCTGGAAAAGACCCTGATGTTGAGAAAGATGGACGGCACAAGAAGAAGGGGACGACAGAGGACGAGATGGTTGGATGGTGTTCTCGAAGCCACAAACATGAGTCTGACCAAACTGCGGGAGGCAGTGAAAGACAGGAGTGCCTGGCGTGCTCTGGTCCATGGGGTCACGAAGAGTCGGACGCGACTAAACGACTAAACAACAACAATGATGTTTTCCATGGTTACCTTGTATGCTTTGTTCTCTCTCTTACTGCTTTTAGCTGTCCTGAGCACAATTTGGTGACAAATTGGTGGAAAGACAGGATACAGATATTGATGGATGGATGGATGGATGGATGGATGGATGGATGGATGGATTGAATGAATGAATGAATGAATGAATGGAAAGAATGTTGGAATGGTCCAACTGAAAGCATGATTGTATTAAGACCCATGTGGGGAGGCGCAGTGCCCAAAACCTGGTTTCCTGGCAGCAAGATCACTGCTGCAGATCAGGAAAGCAAGAGGCGATGGCATGGCAGTGGAAAAGTTGGGGTCGTCCAGGCACACTGGTGGAGCCAATCTGATGCCCCCAGCAGTATGCCTCAACTATGCTAACCTTGCCACCACACTGCCCGATACCATCCTGGTGACAGTTGCATTACCTTTTGCAGCACAGTAGACGTCCATCTTGGCATGTTCCCCCAGTATGTTCTGTCCTAGGAGGGCATTGTCCATATTTACAGAAACCTCGTGCAAGCCTGCATTCCATGGTATCATCTGCAGGATATCCAGCCCTTCCTATTACAATAAAAAAAGAGAAAGGGAAAGAACCTCCTGAGTTGGCTTGTAGGAGCTGAGTAGGGGAGATGCAGGGGGGCAGAGCAGAAAACTTTTTTGTGAATGCTACTGGCCTGCAATACCTAGTCTCACACCCTCGTCCTTCGACAGAGAAAGAAGCTTGCCCTCTCCTGAGCTATGCAAACCACTTTAGTGCTGGAGGCACTTCTGTTCCTGTTTTGCTTTCATGCGATCATGGCTTGTTAATGTTCTTAAAAGGAAGAAAGGTTGTTTCCCCTGCCCTCAGAGGTGCTCTTAATAAATTACCAATTGATGAGACCTGCAACAAAATGTTGCATTGTGGGTTGGCTCCTGCTCAAGATTCCAGAAGGAGGCCATGCCCTGTGCCAGGATACTTCATTCCACCCTTCCTTTCCATGATTTTATGTCCCCCCAACCAAGATATTGGGGTTTGCTTACATACAATCAGTGATTCGTCAAATTGTAGAGTTGGAACGGACTTCATGGACCATAAAAATCAAAGAATTGTAGGGTTGGAAAGAGACCACAAAGGTCAGCCAGTCCAACCCCCTGTAATGCAGGAATCTGAGCTAAAGCATCCAGGACAGATGGCCATCCAACCTCTACTTAAAACAAAGAAGGAGAGTCCACAACTTCCGGAGGGAGACCGTTCCACTGTAGAACTACTCTTACTGTCATCTCGTCCAACCCTCTGTAATGCAGGAATGTCAACATGTAGCCCCCCCCAATCCAATTTGAAACCATACTGGACCCTGTTTAGCTTTGCAAATATACAGACATTGCACAAATAACATTGTACAAGCAGGACTGACATGGGCTCAGTAAGCCAATTTATCTGAGGATTGCAGTTCCTGCAGCTGCAAGGAAGTGAGTGGTAGCTCTCTACTTTTGTAGGCACACTTACATGGAAAAAAACATTTATTAAATACAGTGTAATTCACAGCTGAATGACTCCATGCTGCTCAGTTTATAGAATCACCTCTAAACCTACTGTTGGACTCTGTACCTCAGAATTATCCACCCATCTCTTACCTGGAATTATTTGGATGAAGACTAAGAAGACAGCAAAGAGAAGGTAAAGGATCTTCATGGCTGGGGCTTGATGCTATCTCGCTTTGGCGGTGTAGTGAGAAGATGATTTGAAGCCCAGATGAGGTTCTTTATGAAAAAGGAGACCATATATATAAGGTTTTTGGAGAATTGCAAAACAGTATTTCCGGAACAAGGTGAAGTTTGGGGACATCTGACTATGTACAAAAGAATCTCCATTGCCCTTTCTGACCACAGAGGTCAGTGACACACAAACATTGCAATGTCCTTCCGTTGGCACCCACACAACACCTTTACTGCTCTCAACTGTGGCAAACAGCCAAGTGACCGAGATAAGATTTTCCACCTGAGAGTGAGCTAATTCCCTAAAGGGTTGTTGGTTTTAAGCAATGCAGGTCTTGAGCCAACATAACACAATTTCCATAAACCCCAAAGTCCATTTCTATGATTTCTGTTTTGCAATAAAGGCTGCCTGATGGGGAGCTGGATATATTTTCCATAATTAACCAAGCCCCAATTGGAGCTGTTTCGGTTTCTACGGCACAAACAGGCAAGCAGTGGACCCCAGTCTCATTTTGGGTGTCTTCCAATGCCTTCTGATGCTGTCCTATTCTTTCATGCGGAGATTTTTCTTTCCTGTTCATTTCCTCCTTCTTTTCCCTGGTCTTCTTAAGAGTTACCCCACCCCACACCACCATCTTCCTACACCATGTCAGAGCAATTAAGGGCGGTAATTTATCTGATAAATATAAATAATAAACTGATGTTTGTTTGTTTGCTATTTTCCATCATTATTGGTTTCCATACAGCACAGCGGGTATTCATAACCTTGTGAAGTGTACCATCTGATAGGTAGTTTCTGGGACTGTGTTCTCCAATTTTGGAACAGGCCGGAATATTAATGCGTGGTTGGAAATGAATTTAATTTCCTGGCCTGTTCTGAAAATGGTAACTGTTGTTTTCCAGTTCAGATGAAAAGGGAAATGGTGGTTGTTTGGTTGGTCAATCAAGATGGTTAATATGGTTCTCCCCCTCCTCATTTATTCCCTGCAGCAAGTAAATGCTTCTTAGTTTAGTGGGGTAGGAGAGCTGAAAATAATGCCAATTTATTTCACATCTGGCAGTCAATGTGACTCTTTGATTGCAGATAGTACAGTGGTACCTCTGGTTGTGAATGGGATCCGTTCCGGAGGCCCGTTCGCAATATGAGCAGAATGCAACCTGCGTCTGCGTGTCTGTGCGCGTGCGGGTTGCGATTCGCTGCTTCTGTGCATGTGTGTCATGTCATTTTGTGTGTCTGCTCATGCGCGAGCGGCAAAACCCGGAAGTAACCCTTTCCGGTACTTCTGGGTTGCCACCGGACGCAATCTGAAAACGCTCAACCTGAAGCACACCTAACATGAGGTATGACTGTACATGGTTAGACCAGTCTAAAAAGCCTGGGACAGAAATTTTCATGGCCCTCTAGAGGCTATGGTGGTTCATTTACCAGAAGTAATGTATTTAGTGTTAACTCTGAAAGTATATGGTACTCGATTCTGACCAAACTAAGAGGCTAGAGGGGCTTTGTGTCTCTGGCTTTTTAGGCTCGTCAACCCATGTAGTATCTGAAACCCAAGGGGCACGTTGGTTACTAGATGGGGTTTTATTTCCAGAAGTAATGTATTTAGTGTTAACTAGTTATGTGAAATGGCAACCCATGCCACCCCTTTCACAGATACAATATACTGAAATGGGAAAGTGAGGCATGCTGTGACTCACACCCCCGATACCCTGTTACATATTGGCTCAAGCTCCAGAGCCAGGTGACCTCACTTTCAACCTTGAGACTGTACAGCTGAACAGGAATTGGCAGAAACTGATAAAGCAATGATTGACCAGGTTGAGACTTTCAGTAGGTAATCCAATCCCCCTGGAGGTGGAAAATCCTACTCTTGCCAAATACTTAATTCAACTATGGTGCTGATTTTGACATACCTGAGTAAATAAAGGGCAATACTCTTTATACCATACTTCCTGATAAATCAGGTTCCAGCGCAAAATACCTCTCCTCAGGCATGACCTACCTATCAGTAAACCTACCAGATTTCATAAGCTTGTTCTGCTCATTTTGTACCTTCCATTACACAAATCTCGTGAGTTATCTGTTCAGCAATTGCAGGGTTCCACTAAGTTCTTATACTACATTTCCAGAGGCAGATCTTTCTTAGAAAAGAGTCATTTTAGAGTATCACCTTATATATTAATAGTGCTAATTGTGGGCATGCCTCCATTTCAGCTTTAAATGTTTGTGATGGCTTCACAACCAATGGCTTCAAGTTATAAGAAAGGAGATGAGCAGAGGTTGGATGGTCATCTGTCATGGATGCTTTAGCTGAGATTCCTGCATTGCAGGGGGTTGGACTAGATAACCCTTAGGGTCCCTTCCAACTCTATGATATTTCTGCAAACACTTTCATCCAAAAAGCTGAGACCAGTGGGCATTCCCACAAGAAATGGAAAGAAAAGTGCCTTCACATTCACCCAGTGCTTTACCAGCTGCACTGGCTCCTGGTGGAGTACAGGGTCAGGTTCAAGGTGCTGGTTTTGAACTTTAAAGCCCTATGCGGCCTAGGACCCTCGTACCTATGGGACCGCCTTTCCTGGTATGCCCTGTGGAGGACCTTAAGATTCATAAATAACAACACTTTGGATGTCCCAAGCCGCAAGGAGGTTAGATTGTTCTCAACTAGGACCAGGGCCTTTTCAGCCCTGGCCCCGGCCTGGTGGAATGCCCTACCACAGGAGATCAGGGACCTGCGGGATTTGACATCTTTCCGCAGGGCCTGCAAGATGGAGCTGTTTCACCTGGCCTTTGGGCTGGACTCAGTCTGACCCATTATTATTATTATTATTATTATTATTATTATTATTATTTGATTGAACCCCTTATATGGGATTTTGTATATAAATTTTCCCTCGGCTCTTTTTGCTGGCCTATGTAGGACCAGCATGGATAGTTGGCCCTGGTGAATATTTGACATTTTCTCCCCTTATGATATTGATTTATGGGCTACCACTAAAATGAGGCTGTATTTTAAGCTATATTTTAACATATATTTTAATCAACTGTTTGTTTGTTTGTTTGTTTGTTTGTTTGTTGTTTAAAATGTTTTTACTGTATTTTATATTTGGTGTTAGCTGCCCTGAGCCCGGTCTTGGCCGGGGAGGGTGGGGTATAAATAAAATAATCTTCTTCTTCTCCTTCTTCTCCTTCTTCTTCTTCTTCTTCTTCCTCATGGGAGCAAACCTCCAACAAAGTTGGGAAGACAGAGTTTGTGTGTGAAATTTGAACTGGCATACAAGGCTATTTGGGTATAAGTTTCAGAGAGCCTTCACATATATATGCAGATGCAGGTTTGAACTGTTTAGGTGACCAAATGCTGTTCTATATGGAATCTTCAATATTAGTATTGAGATCCTTTTCACCTGTAGCTTTAAGGCTCTCTAAATGGCCAGTAGTTATACTTAAAAGCTCCTGACTTATAATCGACACCAGACCTCTTTTCATGTGTCCTTGATTCCATATTATCTGTTCTTATTTAATTAGAGGTCCAGTGGCCTGTGTTATTGGAGTCTTATCCACACTGTCCAACCATCTCGTCCTCTGTCATCCCCTTCTCCTTGTGCCCTCAATATATGCATGTGTGTTGCTTTTGTTGTGTGTACCTTGGGTCTTCTCTTTTACAAAGGTCTTGCATGGGAGGCGGTGTTTTTCCTAGAAATGAATATTGTTGTTGTTTAGTCGTGTCCGACTCTCCGTGACCCCATGGACCAGAGCACGCCAGGCACTCCTGTCTTCCACTGCCTCCCGCAATTTGGTCAAACTCATGTTGGTAGCTTCGAGAACACTGTCCAACCATCTCGTCCTCTGTCGTCCCCTTCTCCTTGTGCTGATCTTTCCCAACATCAGGGTCTTTTCCAGGGAGTCTTCTCTTCTCATGAGGTGGCCAAAGTATTGGAGTCTCAGCTTCACGATCTGTCCTTCCAGTGAGCACCCAGGGCTGATTTCCTTCAGAATAGATATGTTTGATCTTCTTGCAGTCCATGGGACTCTCAAGAGTCTCCTTCAGCACCATAATTCAAAAGCATCAATTCTTCGGCGATCAGCCTTCTTTATGGTCCAGCTCTCGCTTCCATACATTGCTACTGGGATAACGATAGATTTAACTATAAGGACCTTTGTTAGCAAGGTGATGTTTCTGCTTTAAAAGATGCTGTCTCGGTTTGTCATTGCTTTTCTCCCAAGAAGCAGGCATCTTTTAATTTCGTGGCTTCTGTCACCATCTGCAGTGATCATGGAGCCCAAGAAAGTAAAATTTCTCACTGCCTCCATTTCTTCCCCTTCTATTTGCCAGGTGGTGATGGGACCAGTGGCCATGATCTTCGATTTTTTGATGTTGAGCTTCAAACCATATTTTGTGCTCTCCTCTTTCACCCTCATTAAAAGGTTCTTTAATTCCTCCTCACTTTCTGCCATCAATGTTGTGTCATCCTCATATCTATATATTTATATGCTGGTGTGGTAATGGGAGATGCTATCCTGTGTGCCTTCCCTGAGGATGTTATATCCACCCACATGGTTGCCCTGATGGATATTTGAAAGCCAAGCAGGTAGATCATGTGCCCTCATTTCTGCAAACATGGCACAGCACTGTGTTCAGCCTCTTGCTATCTGAGTAGTAAGCCTTCTAAGCTTTAGCAAGAGAATATATTACGGCACGTTGTGCAATAATTTCCTCCCACAACATTTAGATGAAAAGGAACACACAAAGAACATTTGACCCATTGGCATTTCAAAACGTATCATAAAGGGACCTTTATCCCGTAATAAGCTACTCCCACCACTTTCAAAAGAACCCTATGACCCATCTTCATTGCGTAGTTGTCGTTAGCATAGAATCTTTAATAATTTCAAAGTGAAGATTTGTTTAATAATAATAATAATTTATTTTTATACTCCACCCATCTGACTGGGTTTCCCCAGCCACTCTGGGCGGCTTCCAACAGAATATTAAAATGCAATAGTCTATTAAACATTAAAAGCTTCCTTAAACAGGGCTGCCTTCAGATGTCTTCTGAAAAGTCTGGTAGTTGTTTTTCTCTTTGATATCCGTGGGAGGGCTGAAGAGCCCCAAATGCATTCTTGCAAAGGGTGGTGATAAAGCTGGAATTGTTGATTCCACAAGCAGAGATGAGGTGTTGTCCCATCACTCAGAGGCAGCACTGAAATATTTGGAAAACAGAAATCAACATTGACTATAGGGAAGGGGGGCAGCCAGGTTTCTGCTACACTTGCGGAGTCTGCCCTTTCACTCACAATCAAATACAGTGGTGCCTCGCAAGACGAAATTAATTCGTTCCGCGAGTTTTGCCGTCTTGCAATTTTTTTCGTCTTGCGAAGCACGGTGTCGGGAAAGCTTTGGAAAAGCTTCAAAAATCACCAAAGTCTTTAAAAACCTCAAAAAAGGCTACCACACCGCGTTCTATGAGTTGCTCCTCGAAGTCAAGTCGCAACTGTATTAACGGTGTTAAGAAATAGGAAACAAACGTGCAAGACGTTTCCGTCTTACGAAGCAAGCCCATAGGGAAAATCGTCTTGCGAAGCAGCTCAAAAAACAAAAAACCCTTTCGTCTAGCGAGTTTTTTGTCTTGCGAGGCATTCGTCTTGCGAGGTACCACTGTAATGGATGACTGAGATTTTATTCTGGGCAGGTCTAGCATTCTGCAAAAGCACCACCAGGCTAGAGGGTCGGCTGAGCTGTGTCACCAGGTTCCGAAATGAAGTTGTTGAAGCAGAGGAAGAGAGGGCTTTGATGGGACAAGCCCTACTCCTCACCCCTGTATGACTTTGCTCACCACCACACAGGGCCAGGCCACTCATGAGGCAAGGTGTGAGGTGACTGCCTTGGGTGGCAGGATCCAAAGGCCACAAGGAACATATCGTCTGTCGCTGCTGCTGTGGTGGGAAGAATAACTGGGGCATAGTACTTCAAGGGAGAATCTGTCATCTCCACAGCTGCTCCCTGCAATGCCTCCTCTACAGCAACCTCTTGATGAATAGGAGGCACTGCTGGTTTCCTCCCACCCATGTTCCCAGTGTAGATCATCACTTGCCCCTTCTTGCCTGACTGGGAGGTGCCATTTTGTCTTTGGCCTCAGGGCCCAAAATTTCTCAGGCCAAACCTGCCTGCACATTTCCCACTACCAACCACCCCAGGGGTGACACTCCCTCTCGCACCCTACCTCCCTCAACCGTGTCCCAAGAAATATGACATCCATGTGAAACTGTGCGTTTGGGTGTGTTGCGTTCATTATTCTTACATTGCACAGCAATTGTAATACCGACGACATTCTCCGATTTTGAAACGTGGTGGAGGACACATAAAGTAGATGCACATACCACTGAATAAACGACATGTTCGTATGCCAAGGATGTCAGTTCTTCCTGCAACAGTGCAGAACTCAATAATAATAATAATAATAATAATAATAATAATAATAATAATTTATTATTTATACCCCGCCCATCTGGCTGAGTTTCCCCAGCCACTCTGGGCGGCTCCCAATCAGTGTTAAAAACAGTACAGCGTTACATATTAAAAACTTCCCTGAACAGGGCTGCCTTAAGATGTCTTCTGAATGTCAGGTAATTATTTATCTCTTTGACATCTGATGGGAGGGCATTCCACAGGGCGGGCGCCACTACCAAGAAGGCCCTCTGCCTGGTTCCCTGTAGCCTCACTTCTCGCAATGAGGGAACCGCCAGAAGGCCCTCGGCGCTGGATCTCAGTGTCCGGGCTGAACGATGGGGGTGGAGACGCTCCTTCAGGTATACAGGACCGAGGCCGTTTAGGGCTTTAAAGGTCAGCACCAACACTTTGACTTGTGCTCGGAAATGTACTGGGAGCCAATGCAGATCTCTCAGAACCGGTGTTATGTGGTCCCGGCGGCCACTCCCAGTCACCAGTCTAGCTGCCGCATTCTGGATTAATTGCAGTTTCCGGGTCACCTTTAAAGGTAGCCCCACGTAGAGCACGTTGCAGTAGTCCAAGCGTGAGAAAACTAGAGCATGCACCACTCTGGCGAGACAGTTCACGGGCAGGTAGGGTCTTAGCCTGCGTACCAGGTGGAGCTGGTAGACAGCTGCCCTGGACACAGAGTTAACCTGCGCCTCCATGGACAGCTGTGAGTCCAAAATGACTCCCAGGCTGCGCACCTGGTCCTTCAGGGGCACAGTTACCCCATTCAAGACCAGGGAATCCCCCACACCAACCCGCTCCCTGTCCCCCCAAAACAGTAGTTCTGTCTTCAACCTCAATCTGTTAGCCGCCATCCATCCTCCAACCGCCTCCAGGCACTCACACAGGACCTTCACCGCCTTCACTGGTTCTGATTTAAAGGAGAGGTAGAGCTGGGTGTCATCTGCATACTGATGAACACCCAGTCCAAACCCCTGATGATCTCTCCCAGCGTCTTCATATAGATATTAAAAAGCATGGGGGAGAGGACAGAACCCTGAGGCACTCCACAAGTGAGAGCCCAGGGGTCTGAACACTCATCTCCCACCACCACTTTCTGGACACGGCCCAGGAGGAAGGAGCGGAACCACTGTATGACAGTGCCCCCAGCTCCCAGCCCCTCTAGACGGTCCAGAAGGATGTTATGGTCGATGGTGTCAAAGGCCGCTGAGAGATCCAGCAGAACTAGGAAACAGCTCTCACCTTTGTCCCTAGCCCGCCGGAGATCATCAACCAGTGAGACCAAGGCAGTTTCAGTCCCATGGTGAGGCCTGAATCCCGATTGGAAGGGATCCAAATGGTCCGTTTCCTCCGAGCGTGCTTGGAGTTGTTCAGTAACCACCCGCTCAATCACCTTGCCCAAGAATGGCAGATTTGAGACTGGGCCATAGTTGGCCAAATTGGCCGGGTCTAAAGATGTTTTTTTAAGAAGCGGTTTAATGACCACCTCTTTCAGCGGGTCTGGGAAGGCTCCCTCACAGAGGGAAGCATTCACCACCCCACAGAGCCCATCGCCCAGCCCTTCCCGGCTCGCTTTTATCAGCCAGGATGGGCAAGGATCAAGGAGACAGGTGGTCGGTAAAGTAGGCAGGTAGGCAGGCAGGCAGGGAAGGAAGTAAGGAAGGAAGGAAGGAAGGATGTGTCCTGCCTAGAAGATTTGGTTCAGATCTCTATCTGTCACTTTCGGAAGCAACCTGAGTTGCTCCAAGTAGTTCTGTGGTCTGTCCAATGGCACATTCAGTGTGGGAGGCTGCAGGGATCAAGTGCATTCCCCAAACATTGACTATCTACACAAAACTACAGTGCTTGTGAATCCGGAGCTTTGAAGTGTATTATCAGCCATTCACTGATGTTCCTGAGCTTAAATTCTTCTCTACACCATCTGAATCCCAAGACTGGATGTCAGGGTATGGACCTGCTCTGGATGAGGTCATTCTCCTCTGAAGAAGCAGCTGCATAGCTTGGAGTGCTTCTGGTTCCACAGCTGTCACTTGTGGCCTTAAGTAGTGCCCAGTGTCTTCCATCAGCTTTGGCTGGTGACCTAGCCGCACTCCTCTCTGAACAGGAACAGACCCACATCTGGTATGTTAGATTACTGCAATGAATTCTACATGGGGCTGCCTTTGGAAATATTATAGAAACTGCAGCTAGTGGAAATTGCTGACCAGGATCAGAAGTTCTGAGCATATCACTCTTCAATCTTGGTATGACCATACCAGCTATTGATTTCTTTCTGAGCTCTATTAGTTTCTGGATCCCAGTACAGGGGATTATGGGCTGGGGGAGTGCTGATGCCCTCAAGACCTATTTGCAGGCTTCACAGAGGAATTTGATAGACCATGCAGAAAAATGGGTGATGAAGTAGGTGGACTTTTGGAAGTTCTGATCTAATTTTATTCTAATATTGTGTAGCCTAAAACTTTTTATAAATCACTGTTCCCCAACAGAGCTCAGGAAATTCTTAAGAAATAACATACCTGGATTGAGAAAGATTGTGAAGGTGAAGAGAGACAGAAGAACATATTGGGTTTTCATAATTATGATAAAGCAGAGGCAAGATGCTCAGTTGGGAACTGAAAATAAGAGAAACAACAGACAATACTTTTTAAAAAATAATGATGGTGGTGGTGGGCATACTTCAGGCTGGTATGTATTCTTTGCAAGAAACTCAAATTCACCCACAAAGACACTTTCAGAATGAAAGAACATACTTAATCTGAGAACATTCTGTGCCTATAACTTTGTTTCCAATAACAGGTGATGAAGTAAGTTTTTTCACATATCTGTCTTACACAGCAACAATACCACAAGATAAAAAGATGATTAAGCAACAATACCATAATATAAGAGACTGGTAAACCTAAAGACACAAAGGAACCAGGAACGAAACCAAATTGCAAAGCCCTGTGCTATACAAATAACTAATTAATAACTCTTACAGATGTCAACCCAGTTTCATAATCAAGTATGCATAAATAAATAAATAAATCTTGTCTCTGTGTTTGTTTCTTATATCTTACGTGAATTCAAAGATTCATAAAATTGTATAGTTGGAAGGGACCACGGGGGTCATCTAGTCCAACCCCATGCAATGTAGGGATCCATTTTGTCCAACATTCGGCTCAAATCCATGACCCTCATATTTAATATTCTTATTCTTAAACTTATTCTTATGCTTATTCTTATTGATTGAATTTATATACCACCCTATACCTGGAGGTCTCAGGGTGAATATTAAGAGCTCGCACTCTACAGGCTGAGCTATCCCAATTCCTAAATAATAAGTTAGTTTCACCATTTCTGCAGAGTCCCATATCTTTATATACCATTATTTGGGAGATGGAACTATGATAGTTCTCCACTCCCCTGAGTCTCATTTCAGGTCCGAGGAAAAGTGATTTTGTTTTGATATTGTTAAAAGGTCATCAATCAGAAGCCATGCCAAGCTACTTTGAGTGATAAAGGGGTCTGCCTGTAATTCCTAATCTACCCTTGGTCCACCCCTGATTTTTACCATTTTTCAGATTGCAAAATATGAAACTATGAAAGCTGTAGGAGATGGATGTTGTGCTAGAAGAGTGTTCTGGCAAATGTCTAGCAAATATTAGAGGTTTTCCTTATGGGTGGAGCAGCAAATGGAGTTTAACACATATGGAAGTAGGTATGGAGAGTCACAAATGCAAGCCCTACATTCATGCAGGAAATATTCCAGCATAAAGTCAAAATGAGCTTTTAACGGATTCTAATGGAGTACAATGTCACGAAGAATGTCCGTTATTTTACATTCTTTTCGAATTGATGTGTTGCCTTTCCCTCTTCCTCTTCCTCATCAACTGTACATGTAGCGTTTTCAGAGTGTCTGGGGAATCATGGGTCAATGAAGTGCTGAGAAGGCTCTTCGTTGGCTCATGGGCACAATATTCTCCCTGACATCTCCCTTGTTTTCAGGGCTCCCTGAAGAGATGCGGTAACTACAATACACCATAAGACCTGTGATACATATGTGATGACGTGCATCCTTCTCTACCTTAACCTGTGTGTCTCAAATGCAAAATGTTTTCAAAAGTGCAATGAGAAAATAATTCAGAGGTGTGTTCATAACATTAAGGACATTAGCCTGTAAGCATTCCCTGAATATGACTTTCTCTAAATATCACCGAATAGCTGCATGATATTTGATTTTCACAGCTAGTTGTCAGAGCAGAATAACAAACAACACCAGCCTCTTTTAAATGTTGTGTTTGCCACAGAACACAAGGAAAATTTCCATACAGTACTGTATTCTCCATCACTGGCAAACAGCAGAGAGTGTTAAGTGCCAATGGGCTCAGAAGAAAGTTAGGCTGGAAAGACTCTCCCTGCAGTTCAAGTTATCCCCAGGCCATTCCTACCTTCTCCAAGTAACACACCGATGACCTTCTCTGGTAAGTGGTTGGATAAGAAATTGGAGTCAACTTGAGAAAATTTGTAGATCTGAATAGAACTTCTTGCAGGTGGTAGGTTAGAGATAGTGATGAAAGTTTCACCTACTGAATTCGGCTTGGCAGGAAGCTTTTTATAAGCACAGGTATCTAGTGGCACAAAGGATCCTCCCAGACTCCTTGCATTTGATTGGGTCAGGCTGATAATGAGTCCAGATGCAAGGAAGGACTATGCAGTGCTCAGACCAAAATGAAACGAAACATTTGATTGACTCCCTGCCCCCATAAAGTGGACCTTCATCATTACTTTCCCCCTCAGTCTCACCCACACTTGCAAGCACCTGAACTAGGGACCCTGTACAAAACCACCCTCAATCTCCCCCATAGAGCTAGTCTTCTCACATTGTGTTCCCTGACCAGCCTCTGTTTTGAGACATTTGAAAGGGGCAAAATCTGATACAGATGGAACTGATATGACATCATCAGTTCTTAGCTTCCTACCAGAATTCACAGCTTTCCAAAAGACACTAAACAGGTGTCCGCAGTTTCCAGATACCAAAATTGGTAAAGAATGTGAGGTATAATGCATTTGGAACTACTTCTTCTTCTTCTTCTTCTTCTTCTTCTTCTTCTTCTTCTTCTTCTTCATGCTTTATATGGGAGAGAAAATATAATCCATATTTGAATAGGAATACAGGACACATTTACAAAGGAAGCTTTGCAACTCAAGTCAGTGGTCTATGTAGTTCAGTATTGTCAAGAATGATTGGCAGCAGCTCTCCAGTGTTTCAGGTGTGGCATATTTTGCTGCTGCTGTGATTGGACCTGTGAGCCTCTTCATGCACAGCATCTCTCTACCATTGACCTACTGACTTAGGCCAATTGCCCTTCTAATCCAGCATCCTGTGCTCACACTGGCCAACAATATGCTTGTGGGAAACTTTGTTGAGATGCTTGTGCAAGCAGGACCAGAGTTCAAGAGCACTCTACCCTTCTTAAGCTTCCAGCAATTGGCATTCAGAAATGTTATTGCTTCTGACCATAGAGACAGAATATAGCCCTCATGGCTAGTAGACACTGATAGTCTTCTCCTCCATGAATTTGTTTCTTCTTCTTTGATAGTATTTCTTTCTGGGAGTTGTAAACACGACACAAATCTCTAGATGACCACTCTACTAATGGGTTTCACAGGTTCTCATGAATACGATATTGTGTTACTGGGACCGAATTTTGAATTAACTCCATGCTATTTAAAGAAAAATGATATTTATAGTGGCTTGAGGCAATATTGATGGATTAAATTCACTGCGTGGGTTCAGTCTTGATTTCCATTGTCCTTAACTCTAATGCCAACTACCATTGTGAAGCAAGGAATTTGCTGTCATTTCTCCAGTCAGTTGGGACCATTTTGGAATGGTTGACGTGGCTGTAATGCTTCATGGATGCTTTGGAAAGACTTCACACATTTCACCCACCCACCATCAGTGAGTTAAAATAAGATGTGTTCTGCAGGTTTGCAGAGGGTTCAGGTGCGTGCTATAATGAAAAGGCATGAACACTAACTAGATATCATTGATAACATCACCCACTTTCCTATTGACTTTGAGGCATCACTGAAGGACCATCTAATACTGTCTGGGTGATTTGTTTGTCTGGGGAAATGTTTGTCTTTTCCCACAACTTTCGCCCATGCATTGGACAGGATTTAGAAACCTGCAGCCTCTTTCATTGTGTCTGATGTGTTACACATGACATATATATATACCACAAATACTAATATGTTTTCAGGTTTTTATTTTGACTTGGTATTCTATTTTTAATAATATTTGTACAATTTCTTAAGTTTCTTTGGCTTTCTTTTTGTCAAAGAAAAGTGATTAATAAGTAGTGGTAATAATAGTAATATTAAACCAGCCAAGTATTTTATGGTCTGATTGTAGAAAATTTACAATGACAATGAAAAATATATTTTGAAACTACAATACATATATATAAATATATATATATAAATATATACTATAGAATGTACCACCATCATCGAATAACGACTCCATCATTTAATAACTATGTTCAGAAAGAAAGGGACATAAAAGGAACAGTTTGTCCCTTCTGATTTCTATTATTGTCCTTGTTGTTGTTGTTTTTGTTGTTGTTGTTGTTGTTAAGATGAGAGCTTTAACTCATTCACAGCAGAGATTTGTTCCTGGTGTTTCAGCTGCAGAAGAGCCAAAAGTGCATTCTTGGCAAGGGTCGTGATAAAGCTGGAATTGTTAATTCCTCAAGCAGAGATCAGGTGTCTTCCCATCACTCAGAGGCAGTACTGAAATATTTGGAGAACATAATATTGACTATAGGGAGGGGTGTCAATTCTCAGTTACATATGCCATGTCAGGTCTGTCATTCACAATCAAATAATGGATATTTGAGGCTTTATTCTGGGCTGCTCTAGCATGTAGCAACAGCACTACCAAGCTAGAGGGTCAGCTGACCTGTGTCTGCAGATTCTGAAACACAGTTGGTGAAGGAGAGGAAGCAGGGGCTTTGATGGGACTAGCCTAACTCCTCGCCCCTGTATGACTTTGCTCACCACCACACAGGGCCAGGCCACTCATGAGGCAAGGTGTGAGGTGACTGCCTTGGGTGGCAGGATCCAAAGGGGCAGCAGATCTTGCCACAAGGAACATATTGTCTGTTGCTGCTTCTGTGGTGGGAAGAATAACTGGGGCATAGTACTTCAGAGGTGAATCTGTCATCTCCACAGCTGCTCCCTGCAATGCCTCCTCTACAGCATCCTCTTGATGAATAGGAGGCACTGCTGGTTTCCTCCCACCCGTGTTTCCATTGTAGATCTTCACTCACCCCTGACTGAGACTGAGAAGGTGCCATTTTGTGTGTGGCCTCAGAGGCCAAAATGTCCCACTACTAACCACCAAAGGGGTGGCATTCCCACTCGCATCCTGCCCCAAACACATAACATCCATGTGAAACCGTGTGTTTGTGTGTGTTGGGTTCGTTATTCTTACGTTACACAGCAAACCATGTTCGGACCACATACTCCAACATTGAAACGTGATGAAGGACATATTACCCGGAAGCATATACCACTGAGGAATTGACAGTCTTGTGTATTAGTAACGTCAGTATTTCCTGCAACAAGCAATAGAGTGAATGAGTGAGTAAGGAACATCTAAACCTGAAGCACAAACCACTGAATAAATGATATGTTGGTTCACCAACGATGTCAGTTCGTCCTGCAACAGAACAGAACTCAATAAAGTAAGTAAGTGAGTAAGTAAGTAAGTACATAAGTAAGTGTGCTGGTCTGATGATGTGGAGTGCTTCTGGTTCCACAACTGTCACTTGTGGCCTTAGCAGTGCCCAGTGTCTTCCATCAGCTTTTGGCTGGTGACCTAGCCGCACTCCTCTCTGAACAGGGATAGACCCCCATCTGGTATCTCAGATTACTGTGATGAATTCTATATGGGGCTACCTTTGGAAATAGTATGGAAACTGCAGCTAGTGCAAATTGCTGACAAGGATCAGAAGTTCTGAGCATATCACTCATCAATCTTGCTTTGACCATACAGGCTACGAATTTCTTTCTGAGCTTGTAGGCTTCACAGAGGAATCTGACAGACCATGCAGAGAACAGGATGATGGAGTAGGTGGACCTTGGCTGGGTCTCAGCTGATTTTATTGTAATATTGTATAGCATAGCATCCTTTATAAATCACTGCTCCCCAACATACCTTAGGGCTCCCTTACGTAATAACATACCTGGAACAGGAAAGATTATCAAGGAAAGCAGAAAAAGTAGCTGACAGGTTTTCATCATGATGATAAGGCAGAAGCAGGATGTTCAGCTTGGAACTCTATACCTAAAAGAAGAGTAACAGCAGACAATATTTTTTTTAAAAAATTAATGCTGGCAAGCATAGTTTAAGCCTGTTGGATCTACTGTATTTATTTGTTAGTAGAAATCCAAGTTCTCCCGCAAAAGTAAGCCAGATGCTAAATTAGAATTTAAGAACAGGCTGCACCTGAGAACATTCTGGGCCTACCAATTTGTTTCCAGGAACAGGTGATGATGATGATGATTAAAGTTTTTTATACACCCATCTTACATAGCAGTATTACTGTAAGATACAAAGATGATTAAGAACAATACAAGAAGATATAAGACTAGTAAACTTAAAAATGCAATATAACCATGAAACAGAGCAATCTAAAGCCATATGCTCTATTAATAAACAACTCATAGCTCTTACCATGGTCAACCCAGATTCTCTGTCTAGCCATTTTTTAACAAAAAAAATCTTGCCTGTATGTTTGTTCTTTAGATCTTATGTAGATTCATAGATTCATAGAATTGTATAGTCTGTTGCTTCTAGCGCTGCCTTTTCCTCAACAACTATATGTGTAGCATTATCAGAGGTGTGGTTTTTTGGGGGGGTTAGGATTGTCCTACTCGCGTATAGGACCCTGGCAGAGACACATGCCCAACTGGCATGTTCTCTCCCTCCTGGTAAGTCATTCGGGAGCTTAAAAAGCTTTCTCCAGCCCTAACATCACAGCGACTGATGCCAAGTGGCATTAGCACACTCTAGGATCCTGCAGAGTGTTAGCAGTTCACATAACAAACTCAGCAGCACAGCATTTTGGCTAATCTACTTTATTTATATATAATACACTCGGAGCATTGTACCTCAGCTCCTTCCTCTTTCTCATCAGACAGCAAAGAGAAAGGACAAAGGACAATAGTCCCACATCACAGAACACAGTAACATCAAAACATCCTGTCTCCATCACTTCCCACTATGTGAAATGAAAACATACACCGTCATGTGATAGACAACAATCCCATGACTACAAGCACAGAGCAAGAATCCTAACAGATCGTGTGCCAATGAAGTGCTCTGGGCACAATGTTCTCTCCCAGATCTTCCTTGTTTTCATGGCTTTCTGAAGAGATGGAGTAACTATGACATACCATAAGATCTAGGATAGGAATGTGATGGTATGCATCCTTCATACCATCTTTCAAAACTGCCATAGAAAACTATTTCAGAGGTATGTGGAGGATATTAAGAGCATTAACC